CAATGTCAGAGAATTCACTCCCAAGCCTGGTCATTTGTTCTGTGCTAAAAAAAGTAATTCTAGTGGCAATTATTTTATTTTATTTTATTTTAATAAGGGTAATTTCCATCACGAGATTTTTAACCAAAAATTCTATATATGAGATTCATATAACATTAAATCCCATTTATTTTCTATAACCCAGGTCCTGTCCAACTACCTAAGGGATTGTTTAGAATGATCTAAATAAATATATTTTTTGACTCTTAACGAAAAGATGTGAAAAAAGGTAAAGAGATGATAAGATCCAAATAAATATAATTATCTAAACAAATACACTTATTTAATTTATGCCAAATAGTCCCTAATGTTGTGTTTAGTTGAGAGATTTGAAAAGATATTTAGAAAAAAAAAGAAAAAAAAATATGTGAAATTAGATAAAATATAAATAAATACATTTTATCTATCTTTTTCCTTTTCCTTCCTAAATTCCTTCCTAAAAAACACCCAGCAATACGATGATCCATGATAGTGACTCCTATTTCCCCTCTTTCTCTCCATATCTATCATTCTAGAATTCTAAGTTTTTATTTTATTTTATTTTATTTTTGATGGGGTAGAATTCTAAGTTCTTTGCACACATATTGGAGAATATGACACCCACTCTACTAGCCAAGTTTGTTGCTAGATCTTGACGAGAAAAAAGTTTTCATTCCAACAAATGAAAGTTTTTAACAAGTTTAAGCGTATAGTGGATTAAATACATAATGACATTTATTATGTGAGATTCATATATGAGATTCATTTTATGTGAAATATCTGTATTTTATTTTGTTTTTAGTCTCTGTATTTCTAACATTATAGTAAAATTTTAGATATAAAATGTAAAAATTGTTAGACAATCTTCACTGTATTTAAAAGATTAAATTCTGTTGTGTACAAAACAACAACAAGAATATAAAGAAATAAAGAAAATGAGAGAATTTGTTTGATTACAAAAATCAAACACGAAATAAAAATAAATAAATAAAACCACAGATTTTATTTTGTTACAAAAACAAAAATAAAAGCTGATTAAATAAACAAATAAAAACAGAATAAAATTAAACAACTTATTTGGTTAATTTATTTGAATAACTTTTCTGATCAAGTCTAGTGTTTAACACTGTGTCCTTAAGACAGATTCGTCCTCTCCACGGTGCTATCAGAATTTGGACGTTTATCTCCCAAGATAAAATGATCTTATCAACGAATAAAAGTAGCACTACAATTTAATCGTTCGTCGAACACACAAAGTGTTTACACTCTTCTTTCAGAAAATAAATGCAGCAAAATGCAGAGGTTTATAGCAGAGGATGGAGTACGAAAATTGGAGACTAATCCAAATGTAAGACTAGTCTATTTATAGATGTAAAGGTGGCTCTTGGTTTTGAATTGAACAGGTATGAAACCTGTTAGTTTCAAATTTAAACAGATTTGAATCTGTTGGGTTAATAAATCAAACAAATAAAAACGGGAAGGGCTCTGTTTGGATGAGCAATAAATCCAATCTAGTTTAATTCTGTTTGAAAACGGGAAGGGCCCTGTTTGGATGTACAGAAAATCCAAATCAGTTTAATTTGAATTCTGCAAAAAATAAAATAAAATTCAAATGTTTTTGGCCCAAAAAGATTAGAAGCCCAACCCAACCACGCACCCGCGCCCATGCCCGCCCGACCGGACGGCGCGCATGTGTGGTGATTTTTAGATCCAATGGGTCTAACCCATTTTGCCCATAACCTCTCTCTCTAAAACACTTGGGTACCCCTTGGGGCACATCCCAAGTATCTAACCCAAGCCTTATAAACCCTTTCAGAACTTTCCACCAAATCAATGTGGGACAAGCCAATTTACAATCTTAAGGAATTTCCACCAAAACTCCATTTCCATGGAGGACACTTTGGCTTCAATTTCCCATTCACTCGGTAATGGTTTTGAGCAACCAAATATACCACGTGAATCACAACGCGGCATAGAACGCGTTACCATGTTGACCCGAGTAAATCGATACTCGGGGCCCACCTAAAAAATAGACCAAACTTGAGAAAAAAATTCTGATTTTACCCAGAATTTTTCTACCATTTCCAACAAAAATGAAATTTGACATTTAATGATAAATTACTATTATTTTGAAACTAAAATTTTCATTAAACATTTTTAGCACAAAAGTATTTTATTATTAAAATTATATTTATTAGCGATATTTTTAAAATTTTGCCACTAAAACTTATTATTATTATTTTTAAAGCGGGTGTGTTTGGTAACGTTTACGTTTTCAGTTTATATTTACAAAATTTTATAAACTGATTTTTGTTTATTTTTTATTTATTTTTAGAAAAACATAAACTACAAACGCGCTTGGTAATTGACAAAATATTTAAAAAAATTTAAAAATATAAAAAGGAGTGAGAAATGGCAAGTGGTGGCAAGTGGCGGCGGAAGACGGTGGTGGAAAGTGGTGACGGTGGGTAGTGGGTAGCTGGTAGTGGTGGGTGGTAGCGGGTTGGGTAGGTGGGTGATAGTGGCGGGTGGTAGCGAGTGGATGGTGGTGGTGGCGGGTGGGTGGCGGATGACGGGTGGTGGCGGGTGGGTGGTGATGGTAGTGGCTCAATTACTATTAGTAAATCAAAAATGTTAGAGCACTCAAAAATTCTACCAAAAATTTTATTAAATGTCGTGTGGGACTCACATGGGACCCATACAATGTGGGTCCCACAATCATGTGAGACATTTAATAAAATTTTTGGTAGAATTTTTGAGTGCTCTAACATTTTTGATTTACTAATAGTAATTGAGAGAGGTGTGGTCTAGCCGACATTTTCTTACGTGTCAACCCTTAATTGCTGCACTCCTCAGCAATTGGGTTGCTACGGTCACCGGATTTGCAGTTGCGAAATGCAGAGAGAAAATCTAGAGAGAGGTGTGGTCTTGAAGCTCAAGCATGGCTTCACCATCATCACCACCGTGGACCTGGCGATGGAAGAGAATAGGTGACTCCGATGAAATTCTCAAATTGTCGTTGTTCTTCTTTGAATTCCTCAATCCTCTTCGCATTCCGTTTGATTCACAAAAAGCTGACTCGTCTCACCACTTCCTCCCTAGATTCATCTTCTTCGTCATCGTCTATTTCTTCTGCTCACAATGGCAGGAAGAGAGTGAAGAAATCTGTAATACCAGAAACATTTGGGGATAATTCAAAGAATGAGGTCTCTGTTAATCGACCTCAGTCCCGAAAGAGGACAAATTTGAGTCTCAAATCGTTGCTCAGGAGGCGATCTTCGTGGAGAAGGATCTTATTTGCTTCGACCAAAGTTAGAAGCATCGTTTTGCTCAATCTCATCACTGTTGTTCATGGTAAGCTTTTCATTTCTCTCTAATTTATGTTTATAATAACTTTCATTGTTTCTCTAAATATAAATAGAAAACTAAAAGCGTAAGTGTTATTAAACGGTACCTCAGTGACCACAGTAATTAGTTTTATATGCGTGTAGATTATGAAAACAAATGTACTAACCGCTGCTTATCAATTTTACATTGATTGTATACCTTGGAGCCTTTTTGACAAAGATGTTAAAAGTTATTTTTTACTTTTACATCATTTATTTATTTATTTATTTTACATATTTTTCTTTATAAAAATTAAAAAAAAATAAAAAATTAATTTTTAACCTACATTCTAAAACAACCATAACTATGTGCCTGTTTGGTGCAGCTTAAAAGTTGTTTATTTTAACTTTTAGCTTAATTTAAGCTATTTTAATGTGTTTGGTTTAGTTATAGCTTATAACTTATAACTTTTTGGAAGTCAGAAATCAGTTTATTCTTTAAGTGGGGCAGGAGATGCTTAATTTATAAGTCAGAAATCAACTTATGTTCATAGTTATAAGCTATAAACTGTTTAGACATAAGTTATAAGCACTTTCCCACAACTCTACCAAACAGGACCTATATTATGCCATTTGGATATGCTTACAGTATAGCATACACATTACAATTGACTGCTTTTTATTCTACTGACATCAAATTTTACAATTTTTTTTTTGGACTCGCATCAAATTTTACTTTGATTTGATTTCAAAAGCAAAGTTAAAAAATTGTAAGCATTTTGCAAATCTGTCAGAGTCAAATCTTTCACTCTAGTATAATATTCACACTTCAATATTTTGTAAAATTTGATAGTTTTATATGAAATTTCATGATTTTTTAACATTCTTTTTACAGTTTTCAAAAAGTGTGAAAAAAAAAAAATGTGAAGTTTAACTATGTAAATCCCTTCCTAATAAATTTTAATATATTAAGGGTAAGTATAAAAAAAAAAAATTTAAAAAAATTCAACACATACTATTATTATTAAAGTATTAAATTTTAAAATAATATAATTTTTAATGTAGATGTCGATTTTTAATAAAATTAGTATTTTTAAAATTCTGTCATCAAGATCTGTCAAATAAGATTTATGTCGACTATAAAATTATTTTAAAAAAAATTTATTACTGTCGAAATTGATGTAAACAGTAATTGTAATATGTTACTCTGTCTCATAGTAATATATTACTTTGATAATGTTATCCAAAATTTTTTTTTTGTCTTTATTTGATTATGTGTTTTTTCTTTAGAAAATTAATGAAGTAAAATAAGTTAGACTATCTTTTTTAAAGATCCAATGAATAGATTTTTGATTAACAGGTTATTTGGAAAGTGTTAGATTAATATACTTTTTGACTTTTTATAAAAAAAATATAAAATATGAATTGAATTTGAAATAATATGATAAAAAATGACATGATTTAAATAAAATGATTATAACTTAAATAAGATAATTTGCTAACACATGCCAAACAATTACTAAATTTCTCTTTATATATTCATACATTTTAATTTTTTTAATTATATAAATATATCACTTTTTACTCATTTACCCTCCAAAGCGTGAAGATCAATATCTATAGATTCATATGTTTAGGTCGAAGTGCTATTTACTAACAATAATTGAGAGAGGTGTGGTCTAGCCGACATTTTCTTACGTGTCAACCCTTGATTGCTGCACTCCTCGGGAATTGGGTTGCTACGGTCACCGGATTTGCAGTTGCGAAATGCAGAGAGAAAATCTAGAGAGAGAGAGAGAGATAGGTGTGGCCTTGAAGCTCAAGCATGGCTTCATCACCACCGTGGACCTGGCGATGGAAGAGAATAGGTGACTCTCAAATGAAATTCTCAAATTGTCGTTCTTCTTCTTCTTTGAATTCCTCAATCCTCTTCACATTCCGTTTGATTCACAAAAAGCAGACTCGTCTCACCACTTCCTCCCTACATTCATCTTCTTCGTCATCGTCTACTTCTTCTGCTCACAATGGCAGGAAGAGAGTGAAGAAATCTGTAATACCAGTAACATTTGGGGATAATTCAAAGAATGAGGTCTCTGTTAATCTACCTCAGTCCCGAAAGAGGACAATTTTGAGTCTCAAATCGTTGTTCAGGAGGCGATCTTCGTGGAGAAGGATCTTATTTGCCTCGACCAAAGTCAGAAGCATCGTTTTGCTCAATCTCATCACTGTTGTTTGTGGTAAGCTTTTCATTTCTCTCTAATTTATGTTTATAATAACTTTCATTGTTTCTCTTTAGAGCAATAGTTTATGAATTGTTTTTAAAATTGTTGTCAATTTGATTGTGGTAGCTGTAGTCTTCTAATACATTGGTCATATGGAAACATAATGTGGTGGATCAATTACTGAAACTTAACATAACTTAAAGAAAGAAAAAGAAAAAGAAAAAGAAAAAGAAAAAGAATATTCTGAAGCAATATATATTAGATAATTGACAAAGATTTTGAGACCGGGATGCTTAATTTTGAGAGTTTCTGTGTATTGGAAAGGTTAGTTAGAAGAAGTGGAGGCTTTAATGTTGTTGGTTGGTGTTGTATTACTTGCCACATGTTGCAATCTTATTGTCTCTCAGTTGGGTTTGAAGAGCATTTGAATGCTGCATGATTTTGAATGACCATGTGATTGAAAAAGCAATTGGAAGTGCAAATCTGTCACTAGAATTGGTCCATTTGTTAAATTCAGGGTCATTGCCTCAACTGATAGAAGTTGTGGCTGCCAATTCAGTATTTTATTAGCCTTTTTCGTAATAATGGTTTCCATTTTGTGCCCTCGACCAATTTATGATATAGGATTCTGGATTAATGTATGGCTTTCAATTCTCAACCCAACTTCCAAATACAGATCCATGTAGCTAACCTGAAGAAATTGGGACCAAGGTTTTTTTAGTTTAGTTGAGTATATGATTAGCTTGTTCTGCTGCATTATCTTTGGTAGGCACTTAATCTGAATCCTATTGAAATTGATGCTTGCTTGTGAGCCAAATTCATCTGTCCTGACAAGAATATGTAGATTTACAGAGAATGGTTTTTGTCATGCTTTTCTCACTTTTCAAAATACATGATGGGGTTTCGAAAGAAATTATATTGTGGGTTATAGGAGAGATATATCATTTTTTGATTTACATGGATTTTAATTTATGATTTTTTTTTGATTAGATATGTTGATACAATAGTGTCAAATCAATTCAAGTAAAAAATTGAATTCCTAATTATAATAAAACATAGAACAGCACTAATTCTGCCACCTTTTTTTATGGTTCTATTACCCCTCTCTCTCATGGTGGAGCCTACTCATGTGAGAGGGGGCCTGTCATGTCTGTGGTTCCCATCAATAAGGTTGTGGATTTATTGATCTGAAGCATGTCCAAGTCTAAAAGAACTTTAAACAAATATTAGTACACGTTTGGACGTATGTCTGATACGTGTTGGAAAATGTCCGACTAGTGTTAGTGTCTAACATGTGTCGGACATGGACATGCCACCTTCTTGAAAATGCCTGTCTTAGGCTAAAACCTACTTACCTAAGAATGCATGGTATGTTGTTGCTTGCACATTCATGACTTGTAAAGGAAGAGCCTTGCCTGTAAGACTGATCATTTGTGGGAAATAATATATTGTTTGTTGGGTAATATTTTTGGATATACTGTAAAAACATTTTAGGGCATCTTCACTGCAGGGATCAATATTTTCTAAAATAGTTATTTGTTCCTTGTAGCTAGTAACATTCCGGTAGTGAAAGAGGTCGAAGCAATCATGGATCCAGCAGCCTTCACCGTTGTGCGATTTGCAATGTCAGCGATTCCATTTATCCCTTTTGTTTTACATGCACGGGGTGATGCTCAGACCCGTAATGCTGGGATAGAGTTGGGATTCTGGGTCAGTTTAGGCTATCTTATGCAGGCACTTGGATTGCTAACGTCAGATGCTGGGCGTGCATCTTTTATTTCCATGTTCACTGTAAGAAAGCTCATCAGAAATTCATTTGCATAACTGGAAGTATATCGGTCTCTGAGAGTTCTTAGCGGCTCTATTTTAACAAATATTGGGTGAATAAATCAGGTAATTGTGGTTCCCTTGCTTGATGGAATGTTAGGAGCCATAGTTCCTGCCCGTACCTGGTTTGGGGCTCTAATGTCTATTTTCGGAGTTGCAATGATGGAATCCAGTGGGTCACCTCCTAGTGTAAGTATTGAGCTAGTCCTACCAGTTGTTCTTCCATGCATTTTGTACGATATGCTAACAAGAAAAATATAGGAAAAATAATTTTTTTATTGGAGTTTGTTACTCTGAGCATTTGATTGCGTTCAAACTAATATAAATTAGTCATGTCTTCCATCAACTCATTTCAGGTTGGTGATTTGTTGAACTTTTTGAGTGCTGTATTTTTTGGGATCCATATGCTAAGAACAGAACATATTTCAAGAAGTACTGATAAAGAGAACTTCTTAGCACTCCTTGGATATGAGGTTAGATAATTAGGCGTGCTTAAGCTGCCGCCGCTTCTTCCTTAAATAATGCAGTTCCATGTGAAAATGAATGTTCCAGCTAATTGACTTTCATTCGTGGTTTGAAATTCTATTCCATGCAGGTATGTGTTGTTGCTCTCTTATCAACTCTGTGGTACTTCCTTGGAGGCTGGTTTGGTGGCATCCACGAAGGTAATCCCTCATCGTGGACATGGACAATGTTTTGGGATTGGATGGCAGCATTTCCATGGTTACCTGCACTTTACACTGGTGTATTTTCAACAGGGTTATGCTTATGGGTAGAGGTAAAATCCTTTTGTGTTTGCCTCAGTATATAAACTTCTATTTTTTATTTAATTAATCAATTAATTAATTAATTTTTTATTTTTATGTTTTTGCTTTTTCATTTTTGTGTGGTTCCTTACAAATGACTAAACACAACTTATGTGTAAAAGCCTTCTGCAAACATTTGACATTCCTTTTTATATTAAAATGATAAAATCATGAAGCTTGTTTGATATTAAAATGATAAGTCTCATGAACGTAAGGTCATAATACAAAATGCCATTGCCAACATACTAATGTAAAAGTATATAATTTGACATCCAAGCTTTGTTTGACAAATTGAATCTAAATCCAAACAGATATAAGTTAGCAAACAACGAATCCAGAGAGAAAGTAATGAAAGTTTTATTTAACTTTGATAGCAACTCAAATCTTTTAAAATTTGAAGATTGGACTTTTAAAGAATGTAGATCTAACATTTCTGCATAAGTTCTATGTGCCTTTTTCTATGATTTCACAGTTAGAAAAAATAAAGAAAAAGAAAAAAGGCTGAAAACTGGGTCATATATAAAAAATCTATTCAAAACAAAAAAGTAACAGTCACAATGGTGCTGTAACGGCGGTATAAGGACTGTTACAGCCTTTATGTAATGGTGGCTGCTGTTACGGTTGTGAATTTCAGTCACATCAGTTGTAGTGGCCATATTGGGTACAGTGACCACCGTAACCATTACGTAACAGTTGCGGCTTATTTTTAAAACCTTGATAGAGTGGCAGGTGGGAAAAAATGATATGGATATATCCGGCTTCCCTCTTGTGAAACCCATTGACAGCTTGAGGTTTGTGTTCTAATAGGATATAACTTACTGAGGGCCAGGTTTCGCAGAGAAACAGGGAAAGAAGAGAAAGTTGAAATCAAGGCACTACAGCATGAGTGTCTTAGTGGGAACCCCTCTTTTAAATCCACCGGCTCTCAGATGAAAAATTTATTTCCTTCATGTTTGGGATAATTTGGCAATGTTTCTGAGATGAATTTGATTGATTATGCAGATGGATGCTATGCGTGATGTATCAGCCACCGAAACTGCTATTATTTATGGCTTGGAGCCAGTATGGGGTGCTGGTTTTGCATGGTTTCTTCTTGGCGAAAGGTGGGGCTTGACTGGATGGATTGGTGCTGCTCTTGTGCTAGGTAGGATACTATTTATCTTTTGCTTCTGGGTTATCATTTTATGCGGATTTTGATTGTCAAACTTGACCACAAAATTGTTTTTGAGGTTACTTTTTCTCAACTTTCAGATTTTACATCTTGTCATCCTTAATGTTCTGGAAACTTGTTCACAGCGAATAGTTGAAAAGCAAACAAAAAGATCTTTACCTTGATATTTCCCAGTGGGCCTTCCATGGAGATGCATAATTTTAAGTGGAAACCTTAACTGCAAGGAGAACTCTTCCAAGGAAGAAAACCATGATTTGAACCAATCACAAAATCCACTATAGAATCCACAATTATAAGATTTATGACGCTAGGAGTTACAACCCTTACCCTGTTCACCTGACTTGGAAATTTTCCAGAAGTGCTCCTTGCACTTGATCTCTACCACCATTCACCTAACTTGGAAATTTTCAAGAAGTGCTCCTTGTACTTGATCTCTACTATACAAGGCTTTGACCCAGTCAGCCTTCTCTGATCCTATAATGCTCCATGTAGCTTCTCGTTTTGATCTCCGCACTCCGATTGCTCCGCTACCCACAGACCACAGTTGAAGGGATCGCATTATGCAGTTAGAGTTTTTATGCAAGAGCACTCAATCTAGATCCAAATCAAGCTAATGAGGGGATACGCTCACAAACAAGTGTGAGAACTCCCAAGATTGCATAACCTGTTGTATCTCGTGCCTCTCTTATCCTAATCAAGAATCGAAGCGGTCCAATTTCCACATGCTCGCTCAATTGCCTTGTCGAGCTGGTAGTGAGCACACCTCTATTTAAGGGTTCTCACTTGAATCCTGAAGCAAGAGCATAGAAGGTGCACTAGCCCACTCGAGCTTTCTGTCAAGTGCGTAATGAGCATAGTCCTTTGGATCTCTACTGACAGACCTTCGCTCAAGCACACTATCAAGCACAAACTGAGCAGATCTCTTTGGATCTCTGCAGGTTTGCAGGTCCTGTGCACTCCAGATTGAGTGAGGTTTTGAGTGAACTTCTGATTCTTAAATTTTCCTCATTTTTTTTTTTTGACAATTTAAAAAAATCAAAGTATAAGGAGACAAACATGTTGAGATGAGGTGCCTAACAGTTAAAATAGTGTCGTAAAACTAATGAAAGTAATCATGCAGGGTTATACCTTTAAGTGTAAAGGAGATTCTTTGCATCAATCGTGAACAGCTCTTCAGTCAAGATACAAACTGCACCAACACATTCAACTCTCCTTACAAACGCTCCTATAAACCAATACAAGACATTCCCAATTTTGTCCTACGGAGATTGTTAAACTAAACATGAATGTTTAGGAAATAAATTGGCTGCATAAAATTTGAGAAGATGCCCTTTTTTTCTTGATCGGTGAAAGTTAGTGGTTAGTTGTTAGATTAGTAGCTATAGGGAGATGAAGGCACACCCACTCCATACAAGCATGTAAGTTTTGCCTCCCATTCCACTTCTAAGAGACCTCTCCTTAGGAGCAATGTTTGAAAACCCGGACTAGTCCGACTGGTCCAGACCTAGTTCCGGTTCGAATGACCCTGCAAGCCCGGACTATGCTCAAAACCGGCATAGAATTTGAAAACCGGAAGAGCTGTCGGTTCAACTAGAATAACCGGCGAACTAGTCACTGGTCGACAAAAGAACCAGTCGGGTTTGAAGAATTAAAATTTCTTCCAAAAATATGTTGTGGAGAGGATTTGAACATGGAACTAATTGCATAAAAAGCAAGCACTCAAACAACTATGCCATCAATACAATAACAAGTATATATACTATATATTCAATATTATCTTAATTATTTTTACTAAAAATCAATGTATAAAAAACTTAAAATAAATTTTAAGAATTTTTTTTTTTTTTTTTTTGTAATTGTTTATTATTTATTATTTTTGTAATTTTAATATCTATATTTTTTATACTTATAAATTTTAATATATTTATGACATAATTATGTTATCATGGTTCAATTCCGGTTCACCCGCGGTTGAACAAGTGACCCGTTCGTCTGGTCACTTTTCCGGTTTGCTCACCGGTCCAGTTTTCAAAACATTGCTTAGGAGAGACTTGGTAGCCAAAGGACTAGTTGCACAATCTACAACACCGTAATAAAATTTGAGAAGATGCCCTTGTTTTGCACCTATATGCTCGTGTGCACACACACACACAATGAAAGTACAAACCTAGCCATAATAAATAAAACCAAGAGAAAACTATCATTATTTATTTATTTACCAAAAAGGAAACAGATTTGTTGCATGGTTACATGGATTCTCATGATTAGCTTCTAACTAAGCATGCTTACAATGTGACTGGTATCTTTCCATGCCCTTAACAAGTGCTTAGGATTTGTGTTTTTGGCCACTTCACATCTCACGAGATCTATTGGAGATGATCCTAATCCAATGTGTTCATGTTTATTCAACACTTGATCAATATTATTATGTGATGTTGGGTTGATTTGAGGAATACCTGTATATCCTATGAAATACAACCATACAATTGAAGGTTTCTCTCTAGGCAATCTATGAAATACAATCATACAATTGACAGTTTGTCTTCTAGGCATTTTATTAGCTCGAAACTGTAGAAGGAATGATGTACTCTGTAATTAACTCTAACCAAGAGTATTGATTTGACCTTCCTTCAATAGAAAAAAAAAAACTCCATGATATTCTCCAATGATACTCATATTTTTTGTACTAAAAATGTCTTTTGGGTCTTTGTCCTCTAGGCGGAAGCTTAATGGTGCAGATATTTGGATCATCATCTTCCAGTTTATCTAGAGAAGGTAAAGATGGTAAGCAAGGGGATCACTTATTAGTTTCAGATAAACAAAGTGGTTTCTATTCTTCTCCAATTGTTGTGAGCTCCAGAAAGGATGTTCCTGACATACTGAAGAAGTAAGCTGCATCACTAGTGATGTCTGCACTCTATTGGATCTTCCTTTATGCATATGCATAATATGACATGCCGATAAATAACAAATATAGACATATATATATATATATATAGAGAGAGAGAGAGAGAGAGAGAGAGAGAGAGACATGTCTTTGTAACTTCTTTGCAAATATGTAATTGTCTGTTGGGCCTTAGTCAAAATATGAACAACTAACTGCTAGAGTCCTATAGGCTTTTTGCCTTTCATGTACATTCCACGAAAATAAACATTTATACGTTTTGAAATGGAAGTTGAAGAACTTTATTGTATTCGTCTTGAAATGGCAGTTGAAGAACTTTATTGTATTCGTCTTCTTTTTCTGACGAAGCTCCATAATTATTACTTATACGGCAACTAGTGGTTTGCAAGTTGAAACATTTGTTTTTGAGCTCTTTTTTCTCTTTTGGGTCTTTGGGGTTTCCTGTTATGTGCATATATTTTGTTTCGATGCAGGCCTTTGCCTTTTCAACAAGTCGAGTCGAGTTGAGTTGAGCTTTCATGCATGCTCTACGTGGGGATTGTGTGTCTGTTAATCAACTTCTCATTCACTGTGACATTGCTATGGATCGTTGGGTGATGACTTTTTTTGTTTTTTATTATAGTTGGAGGGGGAGTAGAGTTAGAAAGAGAAAGGAAGAAGCTTCTTGATTCCTGGCTTTACTTTGTTGTGTCATGTGGATTGTTTTCAAAATTAAGAGTAGATTTATTTTTATTTTTTTTTGATGAAGAGCAGGGACAAGGGGGTTGGTTCAATTTTTGGACTTTGTAGAGTTTTAAATAGCTCATGGCCAAGGCATCCATGGGGTTCTGCTCTAGCTTTCTTTGTAGAAATTAGTAGTCTCGATTTTCCCTATTTTCACATGGCACCTGCAACTTCATCCAGGCAATGAAGAATTTGAAGTTAGCTACAGATCAGTTCATTGGTCGCACAAAACACACCTATCAAAGGAAAAATGATCAACTGTATTGCACTGAATTTTTAGGTTATAGAGGATATGATATACCCTTGATATGATTTGAAGGGGAAATTGCCACAAGATTAAGATAGATATGTTAATCAGTTTTGATAATTTGATATTTTTATTTTGGAATATGATCATTTGATATTTTTATTTTGGAATGTGATCAGAGAAGAGAGGATAGGCTTATTGGAATAAACGTAATAATAATAAAAAGATATGGGAATTTAACGCAAGTAATTGAGCATGAGTTCTTTTAGAAATCAGCAAATTGTGAAAATTTGATAGACACTAATACAACAAAGGGAGTCTACTAAATATTCATCTTTGTCTAGGTGTAGTCTAGATGGGGAGAGCATCACAAGCAAATGGTGAAGCCTATCGCCTATAATCGCCACAATAATGACCAAAGAAAGTGAATTAGGCTTCTGGCTATGAGAGTAGTGAAACATATTATCATCCATCCTTTACATGAAGTAGAATTCAAAATGCATTTGTTTGAGACCTAGATGAGAACGAAAGCTCGTAAGCAGTTAAGTCAGGGAGACTAGTCACATAAGCTCCTGCAGAGATAGAGGTAGTAAGAGGCACTATCAACCAACATTTGCACAGGCAAACAGTTGGTTTAGACACCATTCTTTAGCAGGTAATGGTTATCATTTTTCAATGCCAGTGACACCAAAAACACATGGATGGAGATGGAGTAGAGCCATTTAAGGTGAAAGGAAAAGAGCTAGCAACCAACACTCAAAAGCTTATTAATGTTCTCTAGATGGACAAATACTAAACACACATACTTGGATCTTCGAAGCACCAACACTGAGAGCTTCCAAGCTCTTATTACAACAACACAAGTACCAAATTAGAACCATTAAAGATGTGATCTTTGCACATTACTATGCCATGACCAGCTTAGCAACGAGATCTTTAACCGGTTCAACTGCGAAGTTTGTGCATTGGTGTGGAGGCAGGACATCCTCATTTCGCTTCTCTGTACTCTATAGTGATTTTGTACATAGGTATTTTCCTTGGGAATGATGTGGTGGATGAGGTTAAAACTCTTTTAAAGTTTCAAGCAATCTTCATCTACTGCTGTCATCAGCACTATTTTGCTTTCCTCATCTATACTCACCTTCTCCTTTTAAGTTCTCCGCCTTTCCCTCTATTTTTCGCATCAACATAACAACCATGTGTAAAGTCTAGCTAACATTAAAAAATGTCTAGCTAATATTAGTTTTAAAAAAAGCCTAATTTATGGGGGAATGGTAATTTCATAAAATTATTATAGATTTATGAAAAAGTTTATGATTTTAATTATTAATATTTGAACTAAATTTTTTTCTTAATTTATGTCACTGTTCTAGGAATTGGATTCCCTCCCGTCCATAATTTCGAATGGAGAGTGTTGTCCAGGCCTGTGAGATCTACTATAGGTTCTGTTTCGATGATCCGAACCGTTTACTTTACAGAGTTTTTCATGTACATCATACAAGTAAGAAAAATTGAACATTTGACCTCCTAATGAGGTGCACAAACTCTTGGCGAATGGGTTAACCCAATTGGTTCTAACTCACAAGTCTCCTAACCACTATAAATAGTGAAACAAATGTGGAGACAAATATCATTAATAATGATCGTTTGTAATTATTCCTTGCCAATTGTGACACTATTTAGTTGGTTTGATTTGACTTTTAGGAAAATTAAAATATTTTATTTTTCATATTTTTATTAATTTTTTTTAATATTTTAAATATATATATATTTTTAATTTTTAGATATACTTAACATAAATACACTTAAAAATATAATATTTATAAAACAAAATCTTTACAAAATTTATTAAATATCAAAAATATATATATAAAATACGAGAATTCAATATATTTTTCTTATTCTTATATATTTATTATTTTTTAAAAAAAATAAAAAAAATTTCTTAAAATTTTAAAAAAATTCACTAAAAATTAAAAAAACACAAAAAATAAAATTCAATTTTTAAAAAATTAAATCCAAAAAATTAAAACTAAACACATTGACTATTATCCTAATGAACCATGCCAGAACAATAATTGACTTATCTTTCTATACGTCTCATCCAGAATAGATATGATCACTACAGATATTTTCAGGCTTCATTTGAGATGTGGATTGGTTTTTTAATTTTTTTTTATTTTATGGCTATTTTAGTCCGGGACTAAAAAGGCCTCGTTTGACAAAGGCTAAAATTGACAAAAGATAAAATGGGCTAAAATAGCTAATAAGACAAAATGTTATATCAAATCCATAATCATGTCAATTTTTCTCTCACAAACATCACATCTAACTACAAAAAAATCTAATTATCTTCTCAAACACAAAAATTTTAACCTACTAAAATAGTCAACTTCCCAAACAAGGCCAAAGTCTTGTTTGGGATAGATTTTTTTGACATTTTTGACTTTTGTGAGACAAAAATAAAATAATTATAATTTAAATATGTTTGATTTTTTAATCTATTTTATCTTTTTGTGACTATTTAACCAAAAAGTCCAAACTTCTTCATGCCAAATGAGCACCCAATGCATTGCTTTAATCTATTTTTTAAAGGAAAACTACTATTGAGGTTTTGAAAAATTATTATAATAAAAAATTTATAATTTTAATTATTAATATTTATAATATTTATCATCTTTTTAAATATTTTTTTGCACACTACTGGTGTGTAATTTTTCCTTTTTAAATTTGTATGCAAACTTTGTGATCACTAATTTTCCTTAAAAATTACAAATAAATGGAATATTTTAAAAATAATTTCACTAAAAATAGAATTTTTATGTACAATTCTAATACACAAAAAAGACTTGCACCATGAAAATGAAACTATTTTTTCACTATCCATTTAAAATATAACTTTTTTCTTATTTTTAAATCAAAATATATACCATTACAAATATCTACCATTACACAAATTAATTGAAAATGATTGGACTATCCAATCCTATCCTATGGGTCCAGCACATCGGCTATATTTTGAAGAAATATCAATCAGTGGATTTTAAAAAACATAATTACAAATCAGTAGAAAATTTTATAAATATTAATAATTAAAATTATAAATTTTATCGTGCTTTTGTAATAAGTTTTTGCTACTTCCACTGGAGGGTAATAATAATATCTCCTTATATTTTTGGTTTATATGTATAGATTATTCTTTTAAGAAATTAATTTAATATTCTCAAAATTATTTTTGTTATTTAATTTTTAGGAAGATTTATTTATAATTTTTTTTTCCAGACACTTATGGTAGGTTAAGTCCTGTGTAATTTCTTATAGAATTTCAAGTCCTATTTAGATAGGAATGTATTCCACAAGATCGTATATAAACGTAACATGACGTGACACTTATATAAACGTAACGTAACGTAACGTAACACCTACATAAACGTAACGTAACATAACACCTATATAAACGTGACTTGACACCTACATAAACGTAATGTAACGTGTCACGTTACGTTTTGCAAACTTAATAAGTTTTTTATTTTTTTTAATTGAATGTGAAAATATTGCTGGTTTATGTTGGTATCACTTTACGTTTCATATAAATATGATCTATGGTAACATTTAATTTCCTATATAGGAAATTGAATGTTGCCATAGATCATAAGTGCCACGTTACATTTATGTAGATATGATCTATGGTAACATGCAATTTCTTAGGAAATTGCATGTTATCATAGATCATAGGTGTCACGTTATGTTTATGTAAGTGTCACGTTACGTATATGTGTCACGTTACGTTACATTTATATAGATATAATTTATGATAACATTCAATTTCTTATATATGGTTTTACTATTATTTATGATATTAACAACTAATATTGAGGGTAAATGTGTCAACAAACTTCCCACAAGACTTATGGGAACATAAGTTTTTTAGTAAGACCATATGTAGTATAAGTCTCCCTAATAAGACTTATAAATAATTTTCTCTAATTTTTAATAAAGCAAGCAATTATTGGATCAAGTCAATTATTTTTTTGTGAATAATCTACATATAGCTACAAAATGAGCTAATAGAATGATTAAAGGGAACTCTGATAAATCCAAAATGTAAGAAATAAGTGGTCAAATGCTTATATAAAATTGAAAGAATTAAATTTTTTTTTAATATTATTGTTGTCACATTATTATAAATTGATTATTTTTTTTTTTCTATATATCAAAACTGTACTTGTCTACCTTTTCCTCTTATGCTCATGCATTTATGAATCAAAATGGTTTGTGACCTTGAAATTTCTATCGATTTTTTTCCCAAACACTAACATGAGCATGAGTCTCACATGTATTTAGGAAGTGTTTGGCA